AACCTCTTACTTAAATCCGGTATTTAATATGTCAAATTAACTTTTCCAATATTAACAATTGCTTGTTTGTGGTCTCCCCCTCCTGCTAAAGACCTTGTTTTTTGCATGTTTTTCATTTAAGAAAAACATGAACACTTGATCTATGTTAATAATGTAAAGGCAAAGTTTATGTGTTTTTTCAAAAAAAGTTTATTAAAGAAAATATATTGTTAATAAATGTTAATTTTTAAAAAAAGCTGAAAACAATTATGGGTTAAAAAAATTATTAGAAAATTATTAGAGCATGTTAGCTACGTGTTGTTTCAATAATCTTTTTTCTTAAAATAAATTTATATTTAAATGTTATTTTAATTAAATTATCATTCCTTTTACTGTTACTATTTATGAAGAATTGTTAATACTTTTAATCCCAAGGATAATGGTCTTTTATATCAATTAAATAAACAAATTTAACAACATTTTGTAACATGTTTGTTAATTTAACTTCCAAAACCTTACTATGCTTTCCCACGATTATATTGGATATTTTAACCAAGGATTTTATAGCTAATATTATTTTAATCATATACATACATATGTATTTTATTAACTTTTTAATGTCATGACTTGCCAATTTCAAAGGAAAGCTTGAAAGCATCAAACCCTGAACAAATTTAATTAATCTTAAAGTCCAACCACTTTGTTTAGTGTTTTGTTTTATATACATGTGAATTTTTTGCAAATTATTATTTCATCATTTATTTTATATGTCAATATTTCAACATTGATATTTTATTATTATTATTATTTGTATTTTTTTGTTATCTTTACCATTTTTTTGGTTAATCATTATTTTGTGGTTATACACATCAATTTTGGCTATTATCTATCGACCACATGCACCATACCACGTAATGATCTGTTAAGAAATGCGAAAAATAAGCATAATTTTAACAAAAACTAAATATATTTGCCGGCACTTTAATAATAGGTGGGGCTTTCTTGACATATTTCTCACAAAATTTACATAACATTTGGAAAAGGGCTTAATTGTCTTAACAACTCTAGTCTAGTCCATAGTCTAGTCAATAGTCTAGTTTATAGTCTAGTCTATAGTCTTGTCTATAGTCTAGTCTATAGTCTAGTCTCTAGTCTAGTCTATAGTCTAGTCTATAGTCTAGTCTATAGTCTAGTCTATAGTCTAGTCTATAGTCTAGTCTATAGTCTAGTCTATAGTCTAGTCTATAGTCTAGTCTATAGTCTAGTCTATAGTCTAGTCTATAGTCTAGTCTATAGTCTAGTCTATAGTCTAGTCTATAGTCTAGTCTATAGTCTAGTCTATAGTCTAGTCTATAGTCTAGTCTATAGTCTAGTCTATAGTCTAGTCTATAGTCTAGTCTATAGTCTAGTCTATAGTCTAGTCTATAGTCTAGTCTATAGTCTAGTCTATAGTCTAGTCTATAGTCTAGTCTATAGTCTAGTCTATAGTCTAGTCTATAGTCTAGTCTATAGTCTAGTCTATAGTCTAGTCTAGTCTAGTCTATAGTCTAGTCTATAGTCTAGTCTATATTCTAGTCTATAGTCTAGTCTATAGTCTAGTCTATAGTCTAGTCTATAGTCTAGTCTATAGTCTAGTCTATAGTCTAGTCTATAGTCTAGTCTATAGTCTAGTCTATTGTCTAGTCTATAGTCTAGTCTATAGTCTAGTCTATAGTCTAGTCTATAGTCTAGTCTATAGTCTAGTCTATATTTTATATATACATATAGTCTAGTCTGTAGTATAGTATATGGTCTAACTTATAGCCTAGTCTACATATAATCTAGAGCATTGAAACCCTAAAACTAAATGATCTAGTTAACACGGTTTAATATTTAATGATTTGTTTCTTTAAATTGATCTTATTTAATTAAATAAATAAATATTGACAAAAAAGCCATTAACAAAATATTTATCTTAAATGCAGCATTTTATATAAATTGTCATATCAAGGAGTGTCAAAGAAATGAATTGCAAAATCAAAGTATAGTTTTATTTAAATTTTATCTTTTAATTTGATTATTTGCATACAATTTGTTTTTAAAACTCAAGCATTAGTAACTATTTAACTTTTGTTTTCTTAACAACAATAGTTTAAATTTTTCAATATATTTTTGTTAATTTTATTCCAAATACATTGTCTTTTAAAGTGATTGTCTACAGTTGAGTATAAACTTCGGAACTCTTATTTTTAGGGTTCATTCAACTTTTATGATTTTGCTCTAGATTTTTTTCGTATTTTTTTAAATATTAGTTAAGCAACAAAGTCTAGCAGGTGTTATTATGTATTTAGTTTAGTTTAAAATGTATATTGTTGTATCTATTTTTTTAATAAATTTTTAAATTTTGATGATGTGCATTTTGTAAATTAAATGTATGTGTCAGGTCAAGAGGTGTTGCTTTTGTAAGTTGGTTTTGCAAAAAATGATTTTAAGTGTTCAATAAGTTTTTTCAAAACCTCAATTTTTTTTAATTGCAAAATTTTGGTATTTTAGTTTTTAAATAAAATGTTTATATTTATTAAAATGTATTTGTATCAACGCTTTTTTTTTGTAAATTTTACTATGTTCCAAAAACCCTGATTCATAATGTATTATAATTATGTATAACCCGTATTCACTGTCGTTCAGTTGCAAAAGTCAAAAGAATGTTTTTTTGTAATATGTAAAAATCTCTTAAGAATCACAAGATTTATATATAATCCGCTCTGAATACCCAATAAAATATTGATTTTTCGATATTAACGATAACCAGACTTTTGGGTTATTAATTATATAAAGTATTAATTACATTGTCAATTACTATTAACTGTATTGTGTAATTCAGAAATAACCAATTATAATTATTTGTTTTGTCAATTATATCCACTTGTAATTGTAATTACGCATTACAAATAATTTGGCAAATTTACAGTGATTCAATCCTTATATCTATCCTTCTAATATACATTGTTTAAAAATTATCAACTTCTTGAAAAGTCCTCACAATTTTTTGCTGGGAAATAATATTTAAATGATTTCCATTTTTTTCTAATTAATATTTTTCAGGAATATTAATAGTTTTGGGGTTTATTGGTATGTTAAACTAAACAGTTTGCATTTATATTTGTTCGAAACTTTAAAAATTAAAAATAACGGCAGTAGTGAATCTAAAATACTTTTCAACCATTACACGCAAGGAGTATATCATAATCGTTCTAGTTCACTTCTAGTTCCTGTTTAGCTCTAATTCAGTTCAGTTCTGGTTCAGTTCTAGTTCAGTTCTAGTTCAGTTCTAGTTCAGTTCTAGTTCAGTTCTAGTTCAGTTCTAGTTCAGTTCTAGTTCAGTTCTAGTTCAGTTCTAGTTCAGTTCTAGTTCAGTTCTAGTTCAGTTCTAGTTCAGTTCTAGTTCAGTTCTAGTTCAGTTCTAGTTCAGTTCTAGTTCAGTTCTAGTTCAGTTCTAGTTCAGTTCTAGTTCAGTTCTAGTTCAGTTCTAGTTCAGTTCTAGTTCAGTTCTAGTTCAGTTCTAGTTCAGTTCTAGTTCAGTTCTAGTTCAGTTCTAGTTCAGTTCTAGTTCAGTTCTAGTTCAGTTCTAGTTCAGTTCTAGTTCAGTTCTAGTTCAGTTCTAGTTCAGTTCTAGTTCAGTTCTAGTTCAGTTCTAGTTCAGTTCTAGTTCAGTTCTAGTTCAGTTCTAGTTCAGTTCTAGTTCAGTTCTAGTTCAGTTCTAGTTCAGTCTAGTTCTAGTTCAGTTCTAGTTCAGTTCTAGTTCAGTTCTAGTTCAGTTCTAGTTCAGTTCTAGTTCAGTTCTAGTTCAGTTCTAGTTCAGTTCTAGTTCAGTTCTAGTTCAGTTCTAGTTCAGTTCTAGTTCTAGTTCAGTTCTAGTTCAGTTCTAGTTCAGTTCTAGTTCAGTTCTAGTTCAGTTCTAGTTCAGTTCTAGTTCAGTTCTAGTTCAGTTCTAGTTCAGTTCTAGTTCAGTTCTAGTTCAGTATGTCAGTAGTTCAGTTCTAGTTCAGTTTCTAGTTCAGTTCGTCAGTCTAGTTCAGTTCTAGTTCAGTTCTAGTTCAGTTCTAGTTCAGTTCTAGTTCAGTTCTAGTTCAGTTCTAGTTCAGTTCTAGTTCAGTTCTAGTTCAGTTCTAGTTCAGTTCTAGTCAGTTCTAGTTCAGTTTCTAGTTCAGTTCTAGTTCAGTTCAGTAGTTCAGTTCTAGTTCTAGTTCAGTTACTTCAGTTCTAGATCAGTTCTAAATCAGTTCTAGATCAGTTTCTAGATCAGTTCTAGATCAGTTCTAGTTCTGATCTAGTTTAGTTTTTGGTTAGTAGTTCAGAAATAGTTTTCCTGAATTAACTGCAGCATTTAAAATATATCCAATAAACTCAAATTTCCGTCATTTGTGGACCAGTTCTGATAATTAAAACAATGTTTCAAAAGCATGTCTGACAGAATTACAAGGTTGTCTTCAACATTGACGAACAAACGGGCGTAGCTAAATCGACTTTGTTATCCAAACGGATACATCAAAGTGGGGTTTATAAACATTTTTTATCTTTTCTTCATATTGTGATTATGATATATAAGCTTTTGGGGATCTTATATTTTAATTTTCTAAATATTATTTGAAAAACAACAGTCTTAAAATTGGCAGTGTAGGGTATTTAAATGGTTGGATAGAATATATTATTTTCAATAATGTTGATGAAAAACTCGTTATGCGTTTAAACATTTTCTTAATCTATTTAAGAAAAAAGATTTATTATACAACTTTTTTTAATTTTCATTTAAATTCCACTCTAATGTATTTTAAATCACACATGCATTTTAAATATTGGAATTAGATTTATGCTTAAATCCCAAAACATCTTTCAAAAATTAGTTACAAAGAAAATGTTTTTTTTTGACAAAAAATTATTAATTTCAATTTATTTAACATAAAAAAGTACAAAAATGTAAGGTATAAAAACTTATTTTTAATGATTTAAATAATTACTAAATAGTCCACTTAACACTACCATTATCCCTTGAGACCCGCTGGTGCTGGATTATGGCCCGCCGAACTGCCAGCAAACAAAGAATGAGAAGCATGTGATGCACCTCCCGAAGCTCCCAAAGAAGCATTTAATATTACACTTACTAAACTGCCCACAACATGTGATACAATATGTTTAATAAAGGCCGAAGAATCAGAGCCGCCACCTTTATTATATGTGGGGGTTTTGTCTTTACGTTCTGAGGAGGATTCTTCTTCAGTAAGAGGACGATTTTTAGCTTCCATGAAACTACTTATAAGATTTTGTAAAAATATAAAGGGTTTGGGTGGTTCATCATCTTCTTCGGGATCCTTAAATAAAAAATGGAAAATGTTAATGATTTGATTTTTTAATTAAATAAATTTAAATTAAAAAGAAAGAAAGGTTGGGGGTATATAATAATTTACTGCAATTAAAATATTAGTTTACTGTCACAGGTTAGTAAAGAAAGAAATAAATAGACTAAAAAGAGAAAACTAAAATTAATAAGTACTGCGCTCAAAGAAGCCACCACTGTTCCCAAAAAGTTGCCTATGAATTGGCCATTATTGATCTAGAAAAAGAAAAACAAAAAGAAATGAGTTAAAAATCATGTTAGTCATTTCATAATTTTATATAGAAACTTACTGCACCTCCTCCTCCCGAAAGGCCATCAAAAGCTGTGCCCACATAAATGCCCAAAACAGTGCCAAAGTTTTTGTCGCCCTAAGAGGAGAAATATTTTAGTATTTGTAATTCTATTTCCGAAAGTAAATAAAATCTACCGCTAATAATCCTGATATTAAGGCAGTAGCAGAACTAATTAAAGTTTCTATATCTAAACCACCAGGCTGAAAATAAAAACAATTCAGTTTAAACTATTTATTAATTTTATTTTTATATACTCACCCCAAATATCTGTGATATAACACCTGTTAGAGCACCTATCAAAGCACCAATATCCGAGCCACCTTCCCCCTATTATCAAAGTGAATGCAAAAGTTTACATCTTTAAAATAATTAATTTGTCATCTGCTCCCATCACTCATACTTACTCCACTTAAACTGGTTATAATGCCGACAAGACCACCACCACCACCAGTCGGTGGCGGCTGATCATCGTCTAAAAATTCAGGTGAACCATCTTCCTGTTTGGCAGGCTTCATGTCATTTGTTGTATTCACCATCACCGTGATTGTTGCCTGTTGTTTTGCTGATTTGCTGCTATTTCTTTCAATAACATTCTTTCTTAGACAAAAAATTGCATTTGAAATTTAAGTTTCATTTTAAGACAAGTTATTTAAATTATAAAAATAAAATGCAAATTTTATATAAGAGTTAAGTTAGTATACCCCCGTCCTTTCTATTGCTACAACATAAATCACGTTTAGTTTTGTAATCCTTTTTAACACTCACATTGGCTGCCGCTTCCAGCAATAGATTGTCATCTTCAAGGGAGTCATCTTCGTTGTCTGTTTTGGATTCCTCAACCAAATTGTTGCGAAAATCATCCTAAGGTAAAGTAATACAAAGAAAATAAGTTGGTTACTTAAATGCCAATTTACTAGGAAAAGAAAAGTAAAATTTGTTGCTTAAGTTGTTTTTGTTTAACAATATTTAAAGATTCAGTAGTGATTATTAATATGAGCAAAACTTATCAAGTTTGTTGCTTAAGTCTTTTGTTTTTGAAATGTGTGAATTACATTGAAATAACTAAATTACTTCTTGTTGAGCTCTATGGTTTTGCAAAACAATTTTGTTTTTAACACTTTCGGTTTAACTATTTGTAATTAAAATTATATTTGTAAAAATAAAATACATATTTGAGAGTAAAATTACTATTACCAGATGACATGACACCTTTATTAAGTATAAATTGATCTCTTGTTTAATTGTTTTTGAATTGAATGTAATTCAATTATTAAATTGTTCTAGTTCAGTTCTAATTCACTTATATTTCAGTTCTAGTTCAGTTCTAGTTCAGTTCTAGTTCAGTTCTAGTTCAGTTCTAGTTCAGTTCTAGTTCAGTTCTAGTTCAGTTCTAGTTCAGTTCTAGTTCAGTTCTAGTTCAGTTCTAGTTCAGTTCTAGTTCAGTTCTAGTTCAGTTCTAGTTCAGTTCTAGTTCAGTTCTAGTTCAGTTCTAGTTCAGTTCTAGTTCAGTTCTAGTTCAGTTCTAGTTCAGTTCTAGTTCAGTTCTAGTTCAGTTCTAGTTCAGTTCTAGTTCAGTTCTAGTTCAGTTCTAGTTCAGTTCTAGTTCAGTTCTAGTTCAGTTCTAGTTCAGTTCTAGTTCAGTTCTAGTTCAGTTCTAGTTCAGTTCTAGTTCAGTTCTAGTTCAGTTCTAGTTCAGTTCTAGTTCAGTTCTAGTTCAGTTCTAGTTCAGTTCTAGTTCAGTTTTAGTTCAGTTCTAGTCAGTTCTAGTTCAGTTCTCGTTCAGTTCGAGTTCAGTTCTAGTTTCAGTTAAGTTCGTTTAGTCAGTTCTAGTGCAAGTTTAGTTCAGTTCTAGGTCAGTCTAGTTCAGTTATAGTTAGTTATGTTCAGTTCTAGTCAGTTCTAGTTTCAGTTCTAGTTTCAAGTTCTAGTTAAGTCTAGTTCAGTTCTAGTTTCAGTTCTAGTCAGTTTCTGAGTCAGTTTCTAGTCAGTTCTAGGGTTCAGTTCAGTTAAGTCTGTTCAGTTATAGTTTCAGTTTGATTCAGTTTGTTCATTTCAGTTCGATTCTTTAGTAAGATTGAAAGAAGGCAGAAACATTGAAGAGAATTTATTCAAACTATGTAAAAAAAGTATTGTAAAATAGAATTGATTGAAAAGATTAATTTTTCATATTCATCGCTAAAAGGATAATGTTTTGTTTTGTTTGTGTTTTGTCCAATGAAATACTATATAAGTATCCATTTTTGTCTCAGCTTATTAATTTGGATCTGTTGGAATTAATGTTGGATACCAGAACTTTCTAAATGATTGTAACAAAAACTCATAATTATACTAATTATAAATTTTAACTAATTTTATCATAATCACCTCTGTCAGCAAAGACTTAATCTGTCTAATACGTGCCGGTTCCTCTTTTTCAGTTTGTCTCTTTTTCAACACTTTATTACTGGCCTTAGCCAAGGGGCCATCGTCCTCAGCATGCTCTATCAGGTATTCCAAAGTATAGTCGATTTTATCATCCACAACGTGTTTCATTAAATTAACTTGTTTAAGAATTTGTTTCCTCAACTGAGCCACTCTTTTGCCCACATCACTTTCACTATTTCTAAACACACCATCTGCTAGTGTGGGATCTTTTAGAGTTTTTAAAATATCTAACATTTCTTGTTTAAAAGTTTTCGCATCCTTAGATTTGGTGGCCATATCTAAGGATTTTGTTAAAATATCCAAAGCTTTTTGATCTCTATCCAATTGATCTTCGATTTTTTCAATTTTAGGTAAAACTAAATTTTTATCACTCATATTAGTATTGAGCAAGAGATCTTTAACCACATCTATGAGATTTTTTTCCATTAGTTGTTCGGCCTGTTTGGCACCATTTAAAATACCAATAGTGGTTATGGCTCTTAATTCTTCGCGTGGTAATTTCGGTTCCAATTTCTTATAGGCCGCCATAGCTTTAAGATAATAAGGATTTATTTGAGCCCTTAGATTAGAGGTTTTTTGCACTGGCACTGAACGACATAAATGAGCACTTAGTAATAAGGATATCCATATTGAGGATATACAGGGTTTACGCATTTTTATTATTTTTATATTTTAAAATTTATTGCACTTTAATAACTTTTGTTAACCCGTCCGCTAGAGTTTTTCGTTTATTACTATTTCCATTTTGGGATTTTCCTTTACATTTATATATGGGAAATTGTTTGTTTTCCATCAATAGATTATGGGCGTAGTAGGCGTGTCTCTTAGACTTTATGGGTTTTGATTTCGTATGTTTAATTTAGCGTTCAATTACCTCATTTATGACATATTAAGTGATATACATTTTATTGATTGCAATTCGTTATTGTGTTTTTTTTCGATTACATTGTTTTTTAAAACAATGGTTTTACTTTTGATATTATGTCTTTTTTAAGGGTGATTGATTTTCTTGGTAAAAGATGTTATTTGTATGTTAGATATAGTCTGGTCTTTTAGAGTTGTTTATTTGTAATTTGATTTAGTGCGGAAATATACAATAAATATTTATCTAAATGTTTGTTTCCGTTATTTAATATAGTAATTTAATGTCTTGTTAAAATTGCATTTAATAAACATATAAATTAAAAATTTCTGAAAATTTGTTTAATAGAATTATTTTTCATATAAAACTTTTGATTTCTAATGAGTTAATATACGAATTTCTAAAGAAATTTTGAAGTTTTGATTTCATTGTTGAATTTGAAATTGTATAATTTATATTTTTATCGCATTTTTAAAGAAATTTTAAAAATTCGATTTCATTGTCGAATTTTAAATTTTCTTACGAAATTTTGATTTTTTTTAGTTGAAATTTTCCAATTTTCTAGTGTATTTTTGAATTTTAAATTTGATTGATGTTTTTTGTAATACATCCATTTTCTAGTTTAAATTCGGACTTATAATAAAAATTAAAAATTTTTATGAATTTGCAAAAAAACTTTATAATCTATGCACGTTTCTCCAATAAACATTTTGTCAATTTATGGTCCAAATCTTTCAATAAACCAACTGTTTAAAAAAGAAGTAATTTCTCACGCTTGTACTATTAAATAAAAAATAAACAAATGGTTAATTACTAAATTAAAACCAACAGACTAATTTCCTAAAACTACAATGCTAATGTCATTTATATTTAATACGGCCTTAAAATCAAAACAGTTTTGTAAGTTTCAAGAGTAATTACAAAAAAATAGATTTTAGATTGGATTAAACGGAAATATTTTTTTAAGAATTCTTTGTTTTTTTTTAACACATCCAGTGAGGCAGTAAAAAGCCCACATTAACCATGGTAATGGCAACAAAATAAAATTACTCTTTATTACGCGTGTTAATTAAAATTTTTAAAAGCCCTTTTAAATCTTGATGACAAAAGTTTTTATGGTAAAACAATTAATTTTGTTGCTACTTATTTTTACTCTTTCAAGTTTAAATGAATTGTTTTTTGTTTTTAATTAGAGTTGTAAAAAAAAACACAAACATAAACTATTTTAAATACCGTCTCATAATACAGGTGAGTAAGTAAATTATTACTACGTAATTCATATTTGAGACAAAGATACCACTACCTACACTATCATATATGAAGTTATGTCATCAATATTATGATCATCTTCACCGCGATCGTGTAATGTAATGAAAATGTAACCATTTATAAGTAATGTAAATTACTAAAACAGCAACAAATTGGTTGACTATTTCCCTTAGAAATATCTAAGAAAAATGCCTTTTCCAAAAGCAATACGATTGAAGACGCGGGAGCCTTTGAATCGCTAGCGATCAGCCGGGTTTGGGGTGGTTCTTGTCCCCTTTCGTTTTGCTTCAATAGAATTACAAAGTCTTTTATATAGACTCCCTGTTTAAAATATAACTAAAAAAAAAACTACGTTAGCGGGACCAGAGAAACCATAGCTACAAACAAAGAAAGCCCCAAACTATGGTTTTATGAGAATGACTCTAAAACAAATTATCAAACATATTTTCCTTTTATTGATCTCTCAGATGTTCAGAGATCAGTGCATCGTTACCCACGCCTACCTTATTCCTAAATAGCACAAAATTTACTTTAGGAACCCACAATTGACTACCCTAACGTCCTATCAAGCCATACAGGAATGAAAAGTCTTTAATTTAACAATTCATATTTCAGAATTCAATTCAAAATAAAAATTTATTATAAAACATTTTCTTTAACTATAGAGAAGAATTACATTTCTACTAGCAAATAAATCTCATAACCAAGATATGGGATAAAGTTTCTTAGTATTTAGTTAAAATTATAACAATCAAAAAATTATTAGTATTAACTTTAAACTTATCGAATCTTAAACATTAAAACAAAAAAAAAATGTATGTGCCAGTCTAACAGATGAAATAATTTTAATTTAAAATGTTAACAAATATAAACTAACAAGAACCGAAAATAACAAAACCGATAGGTAAACGTTTTCCGATACGTTTTTGGATCAAATATCAAAACAATTATTACGAATATAGCTAACAAGGAATAAAGGAATAAAAATTACAACATAGCAAATATTAACAAATTTTGATAAATTAAATTGAATAATTAAAACAAATAAGAAGAAAAAGCAGCAGATGTATGCTTGTTCTTATTATTGTACAAATGATGACGTCATATTTGCATGTACTTGTTATTCCTTAATTCTTATTTTTTTAACACATAATATGCAAAAATCAAATCAAATTTTAAATAATAAGTTGTTTTTGTAACTCACCAACCATTTGAAGAAGAACGATGAGGCCTCAGCGAACTGCATTGGTTGAACTTAATGATGATGTTTTTGCTAAAATTTATGTTAATGATGATGATGTTCTTGCATATTTGTTATTGATAATATTCGCATGAATTTTTGTTTTTCTTTTTGTTGTAATTTGTGATACTTATTTTGGTAATTCGTTTTAGGTGTTATTCTTTTTACTTATTGTTTTGTAATTTATAGATTTTAATTATATTTTATATATTTAAGAAATTTTATGAGATAACGCGATAATAAGAATTGGCACTTTTGGTTAAACAAAATTAACTTAACAATAATCTTACATTATGAGCAATATTTAATTCGTTACACTCTTTTCTTCATTTGTGCGCTAATTTTAAATTTAATCTGTAAAACTTTTCAAAACTTACTTAAATTTTATATTAATCTTTATAATTATATATTCCGTTTGAAATTTTCAAATTGGACAATTAATTTACTTAATTTTTTTTCCTTTTTTTTTTTTTTTTTTAATTTTACTAATTATATCTCTACTTTTCACTGATCAAATTTAACTACTTATTTTCTTGTTTAGTTCACTTATCACTTGTTTCATCTCGACTGTTTGACATTTTATCCACTTTCTTTTATATCCATTTACTTTTATCGATTTATGATTAGGCTTTATTTATGTTGTGTTCCATGCGATAAGGATGACACTAGACGAGGATCAGGATGACGTTCGATGAAAAGTAGGATGACATTACTTGACGAGTGTTGGGCAAAGATTAGTCGGAGATGGTATGAAGACCATATAAATGGTCTTCATACTAGATTGAAAATTTACGATTTTGAAAATCTAGCATGGAATTAAATATTAAAATATATACTTTACGTTTTGAATTGGATGATCTTACCAAAGAAGTAGATTTTGTTGGTTTAAAAGTGTTCCCAATCGTTCCTTCTTGAATTGGATTTATAAGGTTATGGGCAAATGAAGATTTGGAATCTCTCATCCAAAGGCAATTGTGTTCTTGGAAGCGTTTCGGTTAAAATTCATTTATTGACTTGAAGACTGGCTATAAAATTATGAAATGTTTGGTCTTTTCCCGAATACACATGGGCAACGTGCCATGGATCTATAGAGCTTCGTCGGGATAAAACTAAATTCACATGGAATTTTAACAAAATTTAAATCATTTTAAAAAAATATAATAATATTACCTTGTAATTTGGTTTAATATGTTAAAATTTTCCAGATTTAAGTTTTACGCAAAATGATGTTAAAATAAATTTCAGAATTTTATACCAATATTTCAGAACACGTTTGTTCAATTCGAAAGATTCCAGAAAAAGGAAGTTAAATATAGATTTGCCGACGACGAAATGTTCGTCACTATGCTTCGTATATGTGAGTAGAATACTCAAAATAACCATACTCGAGTAACGATTTCAACCAGGTACTAATCTACTACTTTCATATATTTTTCCCTCTTAGCCCAACATTGGGGATAATGCGATGAATCGTTAAGAAAGTATGACACAAGCAAATGTCATACGAAATGAAATATCGATATATATCATATAATCAACAATAATCTTTACAACAATGTCTTTGATATTATTTGTTGTAAATATTAAATAAATAAATTACGTACCAAATATATCAGCAATGTTGTTGATGTTTATAAAAAAAAAGGTTCAAATCCTTGCTAAGTTGACAAACTTCTACTTATATGAATCCCGGATTCATTAGAGAATCTTTGGCAACATGTTCCTAAACTTAATAAAACAATCTCGTTAGCCAGTTGATACAAGTTTTATGATTACAAGATTAATAATGCATGCGTAATAATACAAAATATAATAATTTGAAAATTCTAACAACAATGAGAAATATTTAACAATAATATAGATTTTGTTTCAAATCCAAATGTTTAACAATTTATAAGTAAGAAATTTAGTTTGAGATGACAATCGTTTACTACAAAACTGGATAATATTGTCTTTTTAAGTAAAAATATTAGCCAGAGAAAAAACGATTTTATATAAAATATTGGGAGTTGTAATCTTAGAATCACTATAAACATTTGTTTAGATAAGAAGAATAGAAAGTTGTAATTTGTAGTCTTTTATTATGAATCTATTATAAATGGTTTGTGCACAAATTTTGTATCAAACGAAAATATTTAAAAACCAACATAAATCTTTTAAAACATTGAAAATAACACTGTAAATGTTTACTCCCAAAAACCTTTTTATATTCTGCAGTACGCATACCAAACTAATCAAATAATCAGTTTTAAATTTTAAGAGATGTTTCTGTTTATTCACGTA